CTTCTGCTGCTGGAGAATCTCCGCTTTCACCAAGACAAGACGCTGCTGCGATCGGAGAAACGAGAGCAACTCAGAACGACGACGCTCATGAACGCACCACACGTATCACGACACAGAGGCAGAAGAGGTGCCCCTGAACGCACCCCAGTTTTGTTCTGCTATTTATTTTACAATGATGTATTCAGAATCTTTACTTAAGTAAAGGTAGCAATAACACAGAGTAAAATACTCTGTTACGAGTAAAAGGCCTGCATTCAAAATGATACTTAAGTAAAGGTACAAAAGTTACTATCTTCCAAAAGTAACATTAGCTAACTCATTATGCAGAATGGCACATGTCAATTTAAAGTAAATGTAGTGGAGAGAAAAGTACAACATTTGCCTCAATGTATGAAGTAGCAGTAAATGAAAATACACTGATAAAGTAGCCTACAAATACCTCAAAACTGTACTTAAGTGCAGTACCTGACTAAATGTACTTTCCACCACTGGTGAAGTAAATTTCCAGTTAAGGCAATTTTATTGTTGCCACTTATATAAAAAAAAACTTACATTTTTGTAAAAACTTTATTTTGTTTGTGAAAAAAGAAAGGTGAATTTCCCCATATGGTAAATGGTTGTTCCAACATCCAGACCAGATGACATGATGTGGATCTAAAACACAATCCACTACAATTAGACATGTCAACCCTAGACTACGTTAACCCAGAGACGCCAAAGACTCTTTAAAATGCAGTCTCAAATTTGTGAAACTTTTATTGTACTTGTCAAAACACACAAAAACAGTGTTTCCACTGTTGTTCTTACAAATACCAACCAGATCTAGTGAACTCTCCATTATTTTTCTAGCCTTTGGAACATATGACCTTTTTATATTTTTACTTTTTGTACTCCACTTTGTTCATTTTTTCCATTTATTTTATTGTCTAAAACATTTTGAATGGGATATCCATTTGTCACATCACCCATGTTATAAATTGTACATAAAGTTCTTAACTCTCAATTTTTATGTGTAAACCTTCTTTACTCATTTAAAACTGTAATAAATATAAATAGTTATATTTACAGTGACAGTGATAATAGACATAAATATGTAATTATAATTCTTGACCTTTTTAAGAGTAGCTTTAGACCCTGGCATATCTCTCAAGGTCCATGTACCATTTTATTAGATTATTAGTTCTCTGTGTGATTGTTTTGTTTGTGGTCATTTTACATCACTTTGTGATAATTGTATCACTATTTGCTTTGTATCCTTTGGTTGTCATTTGCCATTTATTGTGACCATTTTACATCTCTTTTTGATCATTTTGCATCTTTGTGTGGTTGTTTTATGTCACTTTGTTTTCATTTTGTGTCACTTTATGATTGTTTTATAGCCATTTGAGGCCATTTAGTGTTTCTTTGTAGTCATTTGATTGACTTTCTATCAATAAATGCTATCAGTAGTCATTTTATGTTAATTTTTTACTGGGTTTACATCTCTGTAATTATTTTGTGTCTCTTTTTGACATTCAACATATTTTTGTAGCCGTTTGCTGTCTTATAGGCCTTTTCTGTCTCCTTTTAAGAGTCAAGTCAAGAATATTTATTGTCATTATGCACAGCACGACACATTATTTACATAACACACAATTGTATAAGTCAATATAAAAAGGGATGTATGGGATATGTTAGCAACAAAATAATTTTGTGTCTCTTTTAAGTGGATTTGTCTCTCTTTGTAATTGTTTTGGATCTTTTTGTCATTTGTGGCTTTTTGTAGTCTTATTTTTAGTAATTTGTTTGACTTTCCAACAGAAAGTTTAACAGTCCTTTCCCACTTGGGGCGACACGCAGCCTCCGAGACTCAGATCAGGGCAAATAAGCCCTTTAGTCTCCTTCGTCGCTGTGCATTGTGGGACCCAAGATGGCAGCCGCCTGCGCTAGGACCCTGGGTAAGGTCGGCTGGTGTCTGTTGGAATCTCCAGGAGCCCGCCGGTCCGGTACCGTCTCCTACCTGCTGGGGAAAGGGAACGCAAACGGCTCCAGGAGGGCGTTCGGTACCGGTGGGACGGGGGTCCGGTCCAAACTGCTCTCTTCTGTACGGGGAGGAGGAGGCAAGGTGTTGGGTTGCGCCTTCCTGCTCGGTGGAGGTCTGGGTCTGTACCGGACAGCGGCGTTCTCTGTCCAGCAGCACCTGGCGGAGGAAGAGGAGGAGACCACGGTAAGTCCGGTTCACCTGCGCTGACACACAGGTGGACTGTGCTTCCGCGGTCAGCTGACTTCACCTGCCTGCACAGGGTCACCTGAGTGCCCGCTCTCATTTCACTGTATGGAACAGAGCTGCGACGACAATGTGATGGATCTGCAGGAAAGAATCAGCAGCTCATTTTATAGTTGATCAATAGTTCTTTGTGTTTTTTACAAAAGAAAATATGTCAGAAGCCTCTGGTTTCATCTTCTGAAGTGTAATCTTTGAATGTATTTATGTTTATAACATCGCAGGGGGACAGAAATCTGCTCCTCGGTTCTGTCTGTTGGACAAACGGTGACACGGTTTCTAATTGACCTGACCTGATCTTTTGTGTCCTTGGTACTAATTGTCCGACATTCATCATAGGTGTCCTTGGTACTAATTGTCCGACATTTACAGTTCACTGACTCGGTATATCAGCAAAACGCTGACATTTCGTCTTGGCCTGTTTCAGTCCAGGTCTAACACAGTAATACCCGCGTTTTGGACGCACTCAACATTACATATAGCTGCTTGGGTGTCCAGATACTTTTGTCCATCTTGTATATGTCTGTATTATTATTGACACAGAAACACGTAGGCCAACACTGGAAAACATCACACAGTGTTGTCCGCTGCTTATCCAGGTCTCAGGCGGAGGACTGAAGCTGACTCTGTACCAGTACAAGACCTGCCCGTTCTGCAGCAAGGTGCGAGCCTTTCTGGACTACTACGGGCTGCCGTACCAGATCGTGGAGGTGAATCCGGTGATGAGGCAGGAGATCAAGTGGTCGGCCTACAGAAAAGTGCCCATCCTGATGGTGAATGGTGACGTGGTAAGACGCCAGACCGTAGGATGAGAACAAAACATTTCCCCCCACCTCAGAAATAAGATGCAAAGTGACATAGTCAGTCAACATAGTGTATGTCAGATTTCTGTGTTTCAGCTTCTGGAATGTGTCTTTTCTGCTTTCCTTCATCATCTGTATAAACAAACTCCATGTCTGGGTTTTGGACTGGTTATCAGGCGCTGAAGGAGCTTTTGAATGAAATTTTTTTTTTTTACAGTTTTCTGGCAGTTTATAGGTCAAACTCAAGCAGCAAATCGGTTAATCCAGAAAATGGGCAGCAGGTTGACTGATAATAAATAGATGTTGGCTTCAGACCTAAAGGAAACAGCTTCCATTTCTGTTGCTGGCACGTTCACTACCAGGAAACTTCTTCCAAGTCATCTCACTCTTACAGAAACACACCTTTCTGCCTCCGAACCACCGTTAACATGGAGCTAAACATTTGGTCTTGACCACTTCGAGAGAACGCCACAAAAGAAACTGTTGTAATTCAGAAAATTCAACCTATTGCTGTTGTATTGTTTCTCTTCTAAACCTTTGTAAAGGCAGAATCCTTCACGTCTTTGTTTTATCTCCTGTGCAGCAACTGAATGACTCCTCTGTCATCATCAGCGCCCTCAGGACATATTCCATCAACAAGTACGTTGTAGCGTCCCACATGTGATTAGAATTTAGTCAATGAAAATATGATTTTTATTATGTGCATTTGCTCTCATGGACACAGTTTTGATGTTAAGGTTTGGAGATTTCTAATGTTAAAATGTTAACTCAACAGAAATCCACAGGCTTCACCGTTGCCTGTAGCGCTGCTAATAAGCAACTATTTTGGTAACTGAATTTTTTTTTTTTTAAGTCAAGCAAAAGGTTCCAACTTCTCAAATGTGAGACTTTTATCTTTTTGTCGTACGTGATAGTGAACACCTTTATATTTTGCACTGTCAGTCCAACACATCCAGACATTTGAAGACGTCACATTGGACTGTGAGAAACAAAAACGGGCAGTTTTCACTATTTACTGACATCATCATTATCAGCTTGTTAATAATGAAAATAACTGTTACTTTTCTAAGACTGCCCAGGTAAATAAAACCAATAATGTCTGCATGGAGCACTAGAAGTAAAATACTGCAGTACCGTACTCTGAATATACTGTGTATCTTTGTAATTTGGCTGTACTGGTCCTTTAAAAGTGATCCTTTGCTGTCCAGGGAGAAAAGCATGTCTGAGATCGTCCGCTCCTACCCGGAGGTGAAGTTTGTGAACGAGAGAGGGAAGGAAGTGACCGAGTACAACAACAAGTACTGGCTGATGCTGAGCGAGGATGAAACTGAGATGATTTACCCTGAGAAAGGAATGCAGAAGTAAGTCCAGACCTGGTACTCAAACAGAAACTAGAGAGAAGGAGATCGCTGCCTGGAGCTGTCAGCACACACTTACTGTGTGAAAGGTTGCACTCTGGCTGTAACTGTCTGTACTGGAAGAATGATCACAGACAGAGCAGCCGACTCTATGAAGCCTGCTTTGTACCATTGTTTGCAGAAGTTTGGGCAGAAGAGATATTTTGCTGATTTTTGCAAAAAGAAATAAATCCAACCCTTTCAGCAACAAACTAAAATAAATTAAGCCCCTTAATTGTTTTATTTCCTGACCTTAAAAATAGAAAAACAATAACGGGGGCCTGTGCAGACGTTTGTGCACCCTCCTGCTCTTCAGGCCTTAATTGACTTGGTAGGAGGGGTCAAGGTTTGTCATTAGGCTTGATCAGCTGGTGATATATTCTCTGATCCTTCACCCACACTGCACCACTGTGGGCTCCTCGGAGCACCTGACTGAGGGTCTGAGAATGAAGCTGGCTAACACCTACGACGCAGAGGCTGCATAAAGATCTCAAAGCACTTCCCACTTGAAATTTCTATTAAGAAATGGCAGTTAATGGGAGCTGTGGAAGTCGAGACGAGTTCTGGCAGACCAAGAAAACGTTCAGACAAAACAACACGTCTGCTGTGCAGAAATAGCTAAAAGCAGACCCCACATGAAGCGTACATGGATCTGCAGACTGTGAAGCTGGCACAGGAATGGTGGTGCACTGTTCTACTGTGCAGGGCCTGCACGGAAAAGTCATCAGAAGGAAACTTGACCTGCACATCTCAAGTCCACAAAGCAACATCTGGATAAGCAAGTTAAGAAGACGAGTGTTGTGGGCAGGCAAAGTCAAACCTGAGCTCTTTGTTTGGAAGAAACCAAAGAACACCTCTTGACCTGACCTTGTACGGTGACCAAAGCTCCGGGACATCAACTTACTTTAAAATTGCTCACTTAGAATTTTTTGGTCCATAATGAACCTTCGAGCCCAGTCTGTTTGAGCACTGCAGTGTGTTGCAGATGTGGCCACCTCTGGTTGTGTACATGGTTTGAAGCTGAGACCTGTTCCTGTTTTCAGAGAGGAGATGAAGTGGCGCGAGTGGGCTGACAGTTGGCTTGTGCACCTCATATCTCCAAATGTGTACCGAACTACTGGCGAGGCCCTGGCCTCCTTTGATTACATTGTCCGTGAGGGCAAGTTTGGTACTTTCGAAGGCTTCTTTGCCAAATATGTCGGCGCTGCAGCCATGTTCTTCATCTCCAAACGGCTGAAAAGTCGGTGAGTCCACTTTGCTAATGGGGTTAGGATTTGTAGTTTTCATTTCCATGTTCGGATGCACAGTATTAATTTTTGACCCAACAGGCACAACCTGCAGGACGATGTCAGACAAGATCTCTACAAGGCCGTCAACGACTGGGTGGCAGCCGTCGGCAAGCAGAGGAGGTTCATGGGTGGAGATCACCCCAACCTGGCAGACTTGGTGAGGGAGGTTTCACCCGAGGGTGCTGCTGTAACCCACCGTATACCTCCATGTGTCTGACCGCTCGGCATGTTGGTCCACAGTGGGGTATCTCATAACTCTTGGTCCTGATCCACAGCTGTAAAATGCTGCTTACATGTGAATCTAATTATGTTAGATATGATATGATATCAGTGCCAGGGGACGTTTCCTCTGGCTCCACTGTTCTAAAGAAACAGTCCCCACCCAGTACATGCCGACTTGGTTGTGGTGGCTTTGAACTGTTTGATATTTCTCGTTTTCTCTGTCTGCAGGCGGTGTTTGGTGTCCTCAGGGTGATGGAGGGCCTGCAGGCGTTTGATGACATGATGGACAACACCAAAGTCGAACACTGGTACAGACGCATGGAGAGAGCGACGCTCAACCACCAGGGCCGAAACTGAGGCCGAGCTGAGCGGGTGACGGAGACCACAGGAACACCAAGCGCTTCCATCCTCACAAAGACAGTGACCGGTAAAGGGAAGCAAGAAGTCCTGCTCGAACGTGAACGTTGACTTCCTGCTCAGCACACGAGTTTAAACCTATTGATTTTCATGAATGAGTTGACTGCAGACACTGATGGAGATGAAGAGATCGCACACAGAGAAATACTGCCACCAGATGTTAAATTTGACCCTTTAATGATGAAGCTGCTCTGCTGGTGAACAACTGGAACTGCAATATCATCATTAAACCAACGGTTTGTTCCATGCACATTGTTTAAGGCACAATGTTGTTTGTGTGTTTAATAGTCAGATACCCTTCAAGGCTCCTGTGCAGATGTGGAAACATCTGGAAAATGTCTTTACACATTTCCAGGTGTAAACTTGTGTCACGACAGGACACAAGGAGGAGAAAACAGTTTGTTCCTCACCATGATCAAAAAACTGGTGTCATTTGGTAACTGATGTATTTCACATATTTTATTTCTTGTTAAAAATGTAAAGTTCCAGCTCGTCTCCACGCAGATGATTTATGGAACAGAACGATCTCTCTACTGTAGTCGTGTTGGTATTTCTATAGATTTTGCTCCGATTTTTGCTGTTTTCCCTCATAAATATTGAAGTTTTAGAGCTTAGCTGCTTCTTAAAGTAGAAACTGGTTAGAGAAAGAAGTGGCTAAGAGTCCACACTGCACCAGAGCCCAGTCTGAGGAAACAGTTAAACTGAGAACGTGGGAACCCTGTGCAAACTGTCCTCTGTGCACTCAGGTCAGAGTCCATGTTGATTTAACATCACAGCGGGTTTGACTTGGAAACGAGTTATTTTGATTCTCTTCTTCCATGAGTTCCGGTTGTCATTCTATTTATTTCAGATGATTGTGTAGCTGACGCAGGATCAGTCCAGCAGTGAAGAGTCAATGAGCTCAGCTCCTTTTGTGGGGCAAAATAAAATCAGACCTACTGAGCTGCTTGTTTGGATGTATTAATGTGCAAACTGCAAAGGTTTCTGAATTAGCTGCATTAAAACCAACTGAGTGTGTAGAGTTGTTTTGTTTGTGCACCAGTGAACATATGGCACATCTGGGAAATGGAAAAGCGGAAAAGTAACTGATGAAGAAAACCAGTTCTTAAACTACCAGGTAGTTTTCTTAATTCATTTGTCCTTTTATATGTGGCCTATGAGCTGAAGGTCACCAGTCCTTCAAAATATCAAAACCGACTCAGATGGAAAATGATTTTCTCCTCTAGCTACAACTCGGCGACTGACACTGGACTCAACTGTGTCTGACAGTGTAGGTTACGTTGCAGCTTTAGATTAACAGAAAAAAATATAACAGGCACATGTTAAAAAAAAAAAAGCTGCAACAAAGCAACGTGCACATTAATGCATCAATAATTACAATCCCATAACGTATACATTTACTGAGCTGGGCCACTCAGCATAAGGAGTACTTTACCTTTTAGTACTTTAAGTATATCCCTAATACTTTGCACACTTGCAGTCATGGTAAGAACAAAGTACACTGTCCTCAAACTCTCCGATTTCATTTATCAGGGCGTAAACAACAAGTGTGTGGATCAAACTGATCTGAAGCAGCGTTGAAAAGCGGCGCGGGCCAAAGTTTCTCCAAGTTGTTGCTGCAGGTGGTTCTACGTTACTAAGTGTAGGCTGTACTTTCATCTCCCCTCCTGGTTTCATGTTGATTTACTTTTGGGAAACTGACTACATGTTGAAATGTGTTGTTTTGTTTGTTTACAGAAGTTATGAAGACCACACAACGGTTTTTAGGCCCTGCTAAATAAAAAACTATTCTTTTTACTAGGACTGTACTTACAGTATTTCTGCACTGTGTTATTGCTGCCTTTACTTCTCCCACCACTTGTATTAAGTGTTCACATGACTTGAGTTTTCTCTCCTCTTGAAAGGAATTATAAACGCGAGAACAAAATGTCCAGTAAACTGCAGACGAGGTTTTATTTCTGACATTCAGTTTATACATGGAGACATTTGTGCACGACTCCTGAGGATCACAATCTTAGTGGTACACCTGAAAAACCCTCAGCTCAAACAAAGCTTTGTGCTTCAGCCTGAGGACCAGCTGTGCAGTTACTCCCCATTGTATTTGTCTCCTTGCATAACTTCCTTCTTAGTGATTACCCATCAAACCACTAATCTTCCTTCGACATGGTGGATTCATAAAAAATAAATAGCAACCGTTCAAATCATTCAACATAGCTCTGAATAAAAACACAAACAGCAGAGTGATGCTGCAGTGGCCAAAGTAAAACAAACAGCCGCTTCCCACAGAAACGTCAACAAACCAGCAGCAAACTGATAAAATGCACATTATCATCTCCAGCACCGGAGAACTGATTCGTCTGGAGGGTTCAGAAGTTTACATCTCAACACAGTGCATCATGATCACGTGACCTTGTTTCAGAAAGAAGCTGTGGCTCTTTTTGCCGCACACGTTAATTATGACGCATCTTAAAGCTGTAATAAGACGCATTTGACGAGGAAGCACTCCCTGACAAACTGCTGATAAATCTGTCATAGTCTAAAGATGTAGGTGAGTTTGGCCGCCGGCTGCAACTCGATCAGCTTTTTAAGGCGTCCAGTAAATGAAACCAGAGCAGGAAGCAGCACTCTTCTTCCCCTCTGATCAGTCGTGCAGGAGGTTTCTCAGCATCACACCACATCTTTCTCATTTTAAAAAGGCGTCACCAGGTCTCCTCCTCCATCACGAACTCCAGAACGTGGAGCTCAGCTGGCCCTTGGGTGGACTGATGTGTCGGCTCTGCAGCGACGTCTGCGCAGGGAAGACAACGTTCACTTTATTTATTCACATGAATCAAACCGAGAGTTGGATCACGAAACAAGTCAACATGCTTCACTACTGTGGGTTTTCCTTGTAAACAGTAATTCTTCAACAGTGCTGCAGTTATTACTGTTATTAGTGTTGTTTGCTCTTGTCCTCTAATGAAACAGAAATACTCGAGTGAAGAACTTCATCAAAATTGTAGTAAATGTACGTGGTAACCTTCCAGCACTGCTCAGATTAGTGCTAATGTTAGCAGAGGGGAACATACCTCTAGAAACTGTTTGAGTCTGATGACTGAGCCCATCTGTCCACTGCTGGTCACGGCTTCGATTCTGGATGCACCAGAGAGAAACATTCAGCCATCAGACAAAACAGGGACAAACCTCTGGCAACAGATGCTGCTGGACTATTTCACACGTTACAAAGTGAAGCTGCACCTGGGGAAGTATTCCTCTTTGAGAAGCAGGAGGAGTTTCAAGAACTGGCCCTGGTACTGCTTCATCAGCACACTGCCACAAACCTGAAACACAAACGTCAACACTGACACCTTTACAGCCAATACAATCCTGCAAGTCCAGCTGGGGGAACAGATTTGTGTGTTTCAAGCTTATTAGGCTCTAAACACAGCAAAGTGGTTTGTGACACTCCTAGACAGGACAAGGGTCATCACAGCAGCTGGTCGTGAGGTAAACAGCAGAAATATGGCGCTCATGTTATAAACTAATCCAACAGGAATGCACACTTGCATGTTAGCAACTGGTCAATGCAGCGCTTTGACCTGACATGACACTGCAGTGCAGCAAAAGTTGAAGCAGATTCAACTAGTGCCAGTCGCTGCTGCATAATGTCCTGCCTCATTCAAAGGAACAAGAAGGGCCGGGTTCCCCCCCTCCCTGGGTCAAATGGCCGACGTGTGGGTGCAGCGTTAACCATTCAGCCACCAGATGCCCAACGCTAGCTTTACTAGCATCATCAGTATAAGACTGAGAGAAAGTAAGTCTCCTTCAGTGGGACCAAACTATTCTAAACCTTACAATAAAGTGTCTGCAGGACAACAACCAGAGCTTTGAGGAGTCATGTCATGTGTGCAGAATTTTGCTTGAAGCTCAGATGTTGTAAATACAAACCAGTGATGAATTAGTAAGTTGGACAAAAAGTAAACATGGGACAATTTTATCCGTTTAATCTGCTGGATCACATTTGTCGGAAACTCTGTTGTTTCATTTTACTCGATAAAACAAGAAGAGTCACACTGGCTGCGTTCAACACCATCACCTACGCCTGTGGTGCACACCGGATGCAAGAGGTAGGAAAGGTTCAGGAGCTGGGACACATGACAAATCTGCAGCATGTTCATAGCTGGGGGACAGAACAGAGGTGACTTGACTCACTGCAGCCAAGGTGGTGAAGGTGCAGGACTCACCTCCAGAAAGTCAAACAGCAGTGTTGCTGTGATGTCGGCCAGAGGCTCCATGTTGAGCATCTGGGCCAGCCAGCGCCAGCCGTGGTTCAGGCCGTGAGGAACAGGCTGAAACACAATAACAACCGGGTGTGAACACAACAGTCAAGCCCTGCTTCATACAGAAGGTTTCTGCAAACACACATCTATATTTAATAATCTACAAATGGTACAACACAAAACAAGCAAACAGGTTCATGGATGGGCAGTGAGGCTGTGTTTACCCCCTGCTTGGAGCTGTAGGGCCACCTCAGCTGTATCATGGCAGCATAGAGACGGATCATCCCAGACATCCTCTTCAGGAAACTGTCCTGACCTTCGACCCCAGAGTCATCCACACGGTAACCAAGAATCCTGAAGAAGAGAAGTCAAAATGGTTGAATCTGTGTACTTTTATACACACACAGATAGTTTTTGTTATAATCACAGGCAGCAGCACATCCCTCCCTCCCTCACCTCTGATACTCCTCCACAGGGGTGCCGTCCTTCATCGGAGGGTAATGTGGGACTGCGTAGGGGCACTTCTTGTGCAGGTGTGCGAGGATGAGGTCCCCCACCTGAGGGTGCAGTTCCCAGATTCCAGAGGCCACCACAGCAATGGGAAAGGCAGCTTCGTGATGAGCCGCCACCTCCTCCTCGCCTTGTTTCTACAAGGGGAGAAACCCCAGAGGAGTTTGCATCTGGTGAGTTGTATGTTTACAGGTTGTGTTTGATGTGTGGCAGCAGAAAACACTCCACTGCAAGCTTCATTTCCACTGCTGTCATCTACTCTCTAATAAGTATGGACGCCACACTGTGAACTCATTTGTCCTGTTACTACACAGACTGAGGTCGGACTCGCAAAGCAGCATCACTGAGGGAGCTGGAGAACATCTAGGAACATGGAGAGATGTAGTAACTGGTGGTGGTTTTACTCTGGAAATGATCCAGATCACAGCTGGAAAGTCGAGTCGCTCGACAGAAAAAATAATCAGCAACTATTCTGATAAACTCTTCTCAAGTTGCAGTTTTTCAGTTATGAAGTTGTGCTGCTTGTCTTTGCCTCATGTCAGTTTGAGAAACACTGGTTTATGTGTCAGTAAAGCGACAATAAGGAGTCGGAGAAGCAAGGAATTTAAGGGTGAAACCTGATGCTACAAGAAAACATCCCAGACATTTTGTAAAATTCTGTGACACTTTATAGACCAAGAAGTCTTTTGATTAATTGAGTCAGATGAAATAATGAAAACCCCTAAACCAGATGAATCTGTCTTGGCACCGGCAAGTGACAACAAAACTATCATTTCAGACTTTAGGGTTGCAACCACCCAATTCATTGTCCAGTGAATTAAATCTCAGCAAACAGTAAAACACAGTCCAACAGTGAAAGTATTTCAGTGGCACTGATATAAAAAGTAAGATAAACAGCACCAGGTGGACTCACCACAAACTTCTCAGCCAGTTTGTAGCTGACAAAGTCCAGGCCCTGTGGATGCTGGGAGGGGGACACAGACTTGCCCCCCGACACCACCGCCCGTCCTGACAGCAGCTTGTCGATCTTGTCAAAGATTTCTCTGAGCTGCGAGCCAGAGTTGGCGGAGATCTGACTGACAGGGATGGTGGCGGCTTTCTGGAGCTCCAGCTTCAGCTTCTTTGTCTGAGTAGAGAAAAATGAAACCATCTGTACAGAGTTCTGCTCACAAATAAACCCTGAACATCTTAGCATTACTGTACTGTCGTTCTTGTCACAACTTAATTCTTGGGCTGGTTATTGAACTGGAACACTTTTTGGGTACAGACAAAAACCTGAGGTGTGTCGAGTGATCAACAGTTATCAAATTCACAGTCTTTTCTTTGATCATATACGTCTGATTTACATAAAACATTTGTACCTACTATTGACTGTATTTCATTTAAAATGCTTGTAGGACTGAATAATAAACTAGTACAAACAGTAAAACTGCTGTTGTTCTGTCTGATCTGTTCTTATATAACTCTAAAGCACACCGAGCTTCATTTTGTGTATGAAAGGTGCTAGATAAATAAAACTGTCCAGCCCAACGCTGGTGCAAGCTCCCTGTCTAGATTAAAAACCGTTGTGCAGAGAAGACAAACCCACCTGGGCGTCTTTTGGGGAGTTGAGCTGTTCGAAGGACTGAGCGCACTGAGCAGCTGTGTCCTGCAGGTCCTTGTACCATTTCAGCGTGCTCTCCTCAGCACTGGTCTGCAGCCCTGCTGGAAGACGTTTAGTAGGAAATGTTTCAGACCACAAAATATTACACAGCAGTACGTCTGGGTATTATAGTGAGTCAGCGTTAAACGTTCACTTGCCAGAAAATTTCCTAGTAATTCTAAACATTTTTCTTTTATCCTACTGTCTTTCCTCCTGCAACAGTGACACCAAACATCTGCCAATACAGCTCTCCTGCAGCAACATTTATCAGCATTAATTCAGTCTGACAAAGGAAAATCACAGGGTACATCCCATATCGCTTACTGGATACACACTCAGGTTTTCCTTTCTTATGACTTTTCCTCGTGTTAGACAAGCCCACATAAGATACAAGGAGAGAGGAACCAAGGAAACACAGTTTAAGAAACATGATGTGTCCTTTCCCCCAATTCTTCATCTGAAGCATCCAATCATTAAGGTATTTCTGATAAAGGAACATGTCGGTCCTTAACACACTTCTGGTAAGGATGCTCTCATGTATCCTCATTCGTTCTCCTTCAGGCAGCCTCCTCACTCTTCAGAGCAGGAATAAGAGCTTTGGGATGCTTCAAGATGACGGACCAGAACGACTTCCAGAATTTGGATTTACCCCACATATTCACAAAACTGGTGACATTCAGATCAGCCCCGGCTGCACTTTGTTTTGTTGCAGTTAGCAAATGCTAGCATGTTCATCTAAGCATGTTAACTTTATCTTTGTGCTAACTTTAGCATTCAGCTGCTCGCTCCTCGTTCAAGCAAGGAACAAGCATATAAGAGACTTGGGATGTGCCCACACTCTTGTCTCTCTGTAACTCTGACCTTTCCTCTGTGCCCTCTCTTTAGCTGACTGTGCCGCCTTCTTCTGTGCATCCTGCTGCGCCTGTAGCTCCGCCTGCTTCCTGCGTGCTTCTTCCTTCTCCTGGTCTTTCTTCTTCTCTTGAGCCTTGGTCACCTCCTCCTGCATCAGCCGGATCAGCGCCCTCATCTCGTGGAGGGCTCGATCAGCCACCGTCATGTCCTCCATGCTGGGAAACTCCCCCTAGAAAAAGACAATAAGATGATCACACAGGGTCTGAAGAGAAGGGTGAGACTTAACTTGGTGAGTGTAGCGTCTGGTGATGCCTGTCAAATCTAAAACAACAAACCAAACTGTAATTAACTGGGACTATCCTTTAACACAATCACAACTCTAGTCTCTTTCACTCTTCAGAAAGGAGCAATGCAACAATAATCCTCAACTTTAACTGACCTCTGCTGTCTTCCGAACCACCTCTGACACCTGGGAGCACAGCTGGTTCCCACGGGTGCTGTAGGAACTCTGGCTGGCCGGTGGGAGATCGGTATTGGTCTGGGTGGACGGCTCCAGTTGCTGGTTGAGCTGCAAGATCTTCTCCTGGATGCTGTTGAGGTTACGGAGTCTCTCCCTGCCCTCTGTCTGTCGCTGCCGCTCAAGCTCCGCCTCCCGCAGGCGCTGCTGCTCCGCCTCCCTCAGCCGCAGGTTCATGACCTGACACAGAGGACGATGAAGAAAATGTATTTATACCATGCAAAATGTGCAGCCCTACTGACAGAGGTTTTTCTAAGCTTGTGAGTTCAGGGGACTACAAATAAAAGCATGGTATCAACCTGAGCTCTTACGAGTTGCAGGTGTCCAGATGTTAAACATGGAGGAGAGATGTTTTGGCAACACTGATCTTTGTAAACCACCAGCCTCCGGCAGGATGCACACAAAGACTGATTTCTTCACAGCCCTAGGCTTCACTGTAAAAACATCTCTCCGCCCACACAACACCCCCATTTTCACCAGAGGAATTTCCCCCCGTGAACAGGAACCTTCTGTGGAAATGAGTTCCTCTCCCTGCTTTTCCACTAGAGGAAACGGGGTCTAAATCAAGTTCCAGAGTGTCTGTCACACCACTGTCTTTTCAACATGATCATACCTTCATTCGGTATCGCTGCTCTTCCTTCAGCTTCTCCTGACGC